CTTCCTTCCTTCCTTCCTTCCTTCCTCCCTTGTTAGATTGTCTGTTAGTTAGTAAGTTTGTTCGTTCGTTCGTTCATGTATACTTCATGATTAAAGAGTGCCAATTGGTATTGTAAAAGGTGTACATTCCAGGACATGTTGATTGATACCAACCCTTTAAGAATCGATGTTATTACTATATCTCTTTTATTCTATGCTAAGTCCTATGAATTTTCCTTCATTAATTCCCTCCTCTCTTTTTCCTTTCCTTCCAGTTTTCCTTTTTATTTTTCCTTTCTTCGTATTCTTCTTCGTTTCCATTTCCTTTCTTTGTTTCTTCCTATAAGTTTCTTCCTCGTGCATTCCTCTACGTCCGGCACTCGAACTGCCCACATACCTTTGATATTATTTTAGACTGATTTACTTTCACCTTTAACTGTTTACGACATCACTAGCTATTTGTAGCTGACATTCATTTCATTTTAATGGAACAGTTCCAAGGTCAACAAAGTCAACCTGGGATCTTCGTCTCTCAGCTTCGGCTATGGGCACATGAAACTGTCACTTCACCTCAGCTCAGCTGAAATTGTTGGAAAATATAACTACAGGGGGGGCATGTGAGTATTTCTGAATGACCATATTGTCAATGTTACAATAGAGGCTTTGTACTATCACGTGATGGCAGGAGGTAAAACAATAGACCGTTTTCTCAAGGTTGCGTTCGCATCTAACTTTGGCCACAAAACTGGAAAACGCAAATTCAGTAAAATTGAGAAGGCAGTTTTATATTTAAAGAGGAGAATAATTGATTTTATGAATTGTTATCGAAAAACAATTCATAGCAATGCATGGCAATACTCCTGTTCTGATATCGTGGCCCGTCAAGTTCCTTAAATTTGGATGCGCACGCAACCTTGAGAAAACGGTCTATTGAGGTCTTTTTCTGGAAACTGAATGCTTTCTCATATAAATCAGATTAAAACAGATTCAATTGTTTTTGCGCCCTGTCATGCCTGCCATCGCGTGAAGGTGAAAAGCTTAAGACTCATCTAGAATTTGTATTTCGCTGTGTTTCTTGATTAGAGACTCATTTACTCAGCGTCAGGAAATCCTAAAATACCAACTGGGAGACACCGCTTGCAACAAGTTTCATGAATGGTTAAGAAAACAGCAACAGCAACAACAACAACAACGACAAAACAAACAAACAAACAAAAAAAAACAACAAAAAAACAAAAAAAACAAAAAAAAAGACAAAATTAATTTTTTAATTGAACGCATTTTAATTTTCGGCCGCCATTTTGACTAGGGGTCTATTGAACTCTATTTTTATGCAAAAACTGTGCAGAAAGTTTCTATTGTTTTGTACATCAATATGGCTTCCTTGTCACGTGAGTGAGAACGCTCTAATAGCCTATTTCATTCAACTAGCTTCCTCGTCGCATATATTTGTAAACAATATTTTTTTGTATATGTTTTTTTAATAGTATTGGCTGGGGTAGAGGGACATATCGAGTGAAACTGACGCGAGTCTCGCTCACCAAATACCTGTCCTTAGGTAAAGTATGAAACCTTTGACATCATTTCCGGTATGTCGTTTCCGTATTGCAGGGCTACATAGCCGCCATCTTGGTTGAATTTAACGAAATATTTATACTTTACGATGGTCCTATTTTGTTTATATCAAGTAACATGGCGGCTAAGTCTTTTTTTAAATAAACCAACATGACGGCTAGGTCTATTCTTGTAACAAACATCATGATATCCAACGTGGCAACCATTTCTCTTTTGTCATTTCATTTCCTTCAAAATCAGCAAAAACTACTCTCATATACATACACCTACTTGCAAGAACGTTGTCATACGATATTAGAACATTAGTAATTTAGTGAGAAAAGAATACATTAAAAGACAAAAGAAAAAAATCGGCTTCAGTGATCTTCTTTTGTTTTTGATATAATTCCTATCCCACTAAATCACTAATGTTGTATTTTCGTATGACAACGTTCTTGCAAGTAGGTGYAAATACAATTGAATGATAATAATAATAAAAGTTGATCAATTATCCACTATGAACGATGATACCAACTGAGCGATTGTATTTGGTAATACATTTTTCTTACTATTTCAACTCTGAAAGCTGGTGAAACATCATTTAGTCAATCCTTGCTTGAATGTAAACATGATAAATAGCTTTCTCTAGTATTTCTTTCTTTTCTAATAGACCCCTTGAAGCATATTACCAATGCAGCCCAATTCAGAGAACAAACCAATAGATTCTTACTCTCATCAGAACTTAAAGTCATAGTTTTGTACTCTGAGTTGAATGGCCCTGAGAATTTCTGAAAGCAGTGTTTCCAATTATTAATGAGATATCTATGCTTTTTACAACGTCAGGAGCAAATGCCAAAGGAAAACCTTATATTAAGAACAGAGGATGCAACACCTGGATTGGTGACATAGACCCAATATTTCGAGGAGAATCCAGGTACATGCGCACTAGCACTGACAACATTTCCTACCTCCATAAAAACCAATGTGTGAGTCGAGTGTCGTGTGAATAAAACCTAGTCATCGCTAACCACCATCGAAAGTATAGCATGTAAAGCCTGTAAAATGCGCCTCTGGCAGCTGCTATTCTTCGATTGTACTTAAAGTCATCGCGGCCTCAAGGGGGAGCGTTGCTGCCATTTAACAAAAGATTTCTTATTAGCATCCATTGTTAACGTAACCACAATGGCCGCCATGCTTTTGTCTTTTAAGTCTCTTGGGAATGCTTGCAACCCATCAATACAGTCCATGTATAACCCCGGAGCAAAGCCCTAACCATTTTGAATTAGTTACGTTTGATTTAAGAGGAGGGAGGAAAAACCGGAGAAACCCTGGGAGTCGGGAAGAAAACCAATTGGCCACTTTAAAAACGAGTGAAGGATTGGGAACGAGTATATAGAAGGTATTGATAATTAACCTTGTTAAAAATACATTTCCATGGCGAGAAAGAGCACATCAAAATTAACAGGTTTCTGCAATTTGGCTWCTATTGGCTTAATAACAGCTAAATTGTAAGCGTCCCCAGTAACCATACATTTCTTTGTAATTTTTGAGATGTTTGGGAGGTTGCTGCACAAAAGGTATAAAATCCAAAATCTTGAAATTCGAGAAATTTACCAGTTTCTATGTACTCTTTTTTGTTATGGTGTTTATTTTGTAACAAGGGTAGCTCTAAAAACTCGTTCCCAGTTCTCAACTTGTTTCTAAAGCTCATTTGGGGCGACAGGAATTCGATCCCCGGACCTCAAAGGTGAGAGGCGAGCGTTTTATCAACACGATATTTTTGAGCAACTACATCCGGAAATACGTCACAACTAAAAAGCTTTATAGTTATTACTATGGATGGAGTTTCAACAACACTGGCTCTTTATTCATCATGGGATAACATTCTTATCTTTTTCTTTTCTTTTAATAGCTTCATCCTTAACTTATTTGTGCAGTTAGTCAAGACATCCGTCCAACAAGATGTTCAAAAAATGGTAAGTCTTTTCCTTTGAACTCATAGCCTTCATAGCCACATTTTACTAACGTGCGAATGTTTATTTTGGTGGCTTTGGTGGGGAAGGGGTGTGCATGTGGTAGAGAACGAAACGACCCCTAAAGGTACATGACAGAAAAGAGCTGTTGAAGCTTTTTTGATTTCAACCCCTAGAACCATATAAATATATATTGTTAAAAGAGATCGTACTGATGTTGCTTTAATCAGTGGCTGTTCATTCATAAAAGAAAAAAACAAAAACAAAAAACAGCCACAACAACAAAATAACGATGGAACCTGAAAGGTATGGAGTCATGTTACGGAACTGACTTTTGAACCGGATTTTTGTGTGTACTCCTGGCACTTGTCTGCTAGTACTATCAATCTCTCAAATGAAAATAAAAGGTCTAGAAAAGGTTCATTAATTTTTTTAAGGTCTAGAAATCAAAATAGCAACGTTGTGCATATTTTAAGAAAAAACGCGAAACTTTTTAGTTTTAGTTTTATCATAACACATGCAGACATGTTTCAGCAGATATCTCTTCCAAGCTAAATTATGAAGCGAAATCATAACCCTGTGCTGTATATATAATTTCTAAATCATTTCTAAACAATTTTCCATGAAACGAGTAGAGCACGCGCGGAATGTTTACGACTTTCTGGGTGTGATTCCTAGGTGAGAAGCATTATGAATGTCCCCGGGTCGGAAGTTGCCTATGTAAGCGAGAAAATCCAAAGTTTCGACCTCATTTGCCTAGGTTTGCCGTACCAGTCACTGCTAAACGGATTTTTTCCTTTGCTTTTTCCGTACAAACGTCGCCGAAGCTTTCCCGAATACGCCATTGCCGCTCGATTCTTGGCATCGTTTTAAGATTTATTTGGTCTTGAGTCTTGAGTGTTTGGTCGTAGTTCAGTCCAGCCACATGTTTGCTCTCGGAGTTCATGTTAACTTTTCCATGGACTCAATATGTTTGCGTCGGCGCTTGTTTAAGGAGTTATGCGTTCCCGAGTTGTTTGAACCTGAAGTGTTATAACAACTGACCCCTACGGCCACCCGAGGCATGACATGTGACTGGGAGGGAAAGCCAACTGGCTGGGCAGGACGAGTCCCTTCACTCGAACTGTTTTTATCGGAACCGGGGAGTTTTGAGTTTTGGGGAAACGCATCAATTCATGAGAAATATTGGTTATGAAAGTATCAATTTATTACAGTTGTTGGCTATATGGTATTTTAAAATAACTGCTATAAATCTCGCGTTCTGATTAGTTGTGAGCGCATGCTTTATGAGAGCACATAGCACGCGCGCGCACTTTCAGTTGCGTTATTCCTATCTAAAATAACGTTTGTTGTAATTTGTATTTTATAAAAGAAATAAAAAACTAGCTTACTGTGCTGTGTGAAGTTATAAAGCACATGGGGAATGGCAGAGCACCCGAGAAGTTCTTCTCCTAACACTTGTCTCGTGATCTGCCAACCCCTGCTTGCTTTATAATTGCACACAGCACGCTCGCGCGTTCTCTATTTCTTCATTAAGTTTAGTTAGTGCTAGACCACATGCCGAAGACAAAACTCGTGTTCCCAAAACTTAACCGCGCCTATGAGGTGAATGGCTGCTTTGGCGTTGAAAATGATATACTATTAGTACTTGACAATAACATCTGAAGTTTTCGAACGCAGTAATATTTTGCGGTCGTTTTTCTAATAAATGAAGCTAGGAACGTGCAACTGCTCAAACTGTTGTTAAAGGTTAAACATGTTCATGAGCCATGAGTACTAAGGAGAAGAAGATTAAAGGGCCACTTGGACGAAAATCGCTCCAAAATTAAAACTCTTTTATTCGAGTTGGAACTTTGCTGAAATAATCTTGAATACATTAAGAACCACTCACTGAAATATCTTTCTGACATTCGAAAGGAAAGGGCCAAAACTTTACGATGTATTTTCGTCCGCCATTATTTCTTTGAATCACAGAATTCGGCTCAAGAGGAATGGCACGAGTAACGTATGACGTCATTTACTCAACCCAAACCAAAACATTGGTGGCTAAATGTATGTGCCATGTTCATAAAACTCGGTTTATTTGGCTTATTCAGAAAACATATATTGCTTCATTCGATTCCTTAACTACTATATGACTAAACAATGTCAAGGCGCTGAAATTTTTCAGTTTCACTAATACTGACGATCATAATTCGAAAATTTCAATACATCTCGGCACGCCAAGAATCACAACAAAGTTGGACGCATGGACGAGATTCTAGCGGCTCCATCGCACGAAGTGACTTGGAGGTTCGGGATTTATTCGAATCATTTTAAGGATAACAACTTTTCAAGGTATATTTACATACAAGGGCAAAGAGCAACCCCACAATTTGGGTCCGCGAGACATCCGACACAATGAAAGAAAAATCTACGAGCTGAGCGACGCCGCTGTCGCGCGAGTAATAAATAAGAAAACTTTGACATGTTCTTTTACAAAGATGATATTAGATAATCGTATGGTTGTACCTATTCTCCTCCTCCTTCTTGTCCTCCTCTCGCGGTTTTGGCCGCGACAAGAAATGTATAGTCAAAACGACGCTAA